ACGCTCTCTTTAACGTAAAATTGACGCGGAAGTTTTTCATAATCTCTTCAGGCCACATAATCGTAATCATTAGGGTTTGCGAAGAATTAGAATAACTCTCGAAAATTGCGCTCGGCTATAATTGGCAATAAGACCAATCCTATTCTACGGGGTCACCGTTTGGTGGCCCGAAAATCACCTTCAGGAGCAAATTAGAGAGAACTCAACGATTGGCGTCCATCCCTCCAAAGCACTGCTAACTCCTCTCAACCACCTTCGTCTGGACCTATACGGGGAACTACAAGCGGGTTGCAACGCAATGAGATTGAGTGCTCAACCAACCTTGGAAGAATTGCAGTATGGGACATGCAAGAATATTATCTCTTACGGAAGTGCCCAAGGAGTTGGACTACACCCCCCACAGTGTATGCTTCGATAATCTTTTCTCCACAAGAATCTCAAACTGATGCGCCCCCGACCAGGGAGCAATAGCCATCTTCACAGATGGCTCGTAGCTCGATGGGAGAGTGGGCTGCGGAATTTTTGCTCCCGTTCTTTCAGTAAGCATGAGTATGAGAATACCGGGTTTTTGTTTTCCAGGTGGAACTCATCGCAATCATGGAGACCGATAAACATTCTGCAATCAGATCTCTTCAATGTAACGGTATCACAACAAAAGTGGCCATAAACTGCAGAAACACTCTCAACAAACTCTCAACGAAGTATAATACAGCCGGGGGCTGGGTACCCGAACACAGGGATATCCCAGGTAATTACATAGCAGACGAGCTCGCAAGAGGAGGAATCCTTCAATCTACGATAATACAAGCACATAATGCAGGTTTAGTCCTGTCCCCGGCTAAGTACATGCTTAGACTGGCATTCACCAGGCAAATTGACTCATGGTGGTTGAACGCGATTACGTGTAACGTGACCAGATAGCTATGGCCGAAGTTGGACGTGAAAAAATTTAAGCATCTTATCCTTCTGAACCGGTTCTCCATTGGCATAGCGGCGGGTATAATAACTGGACACTGTTTAATGGGGCTTCACGGAATTAGGATAGTTTTTGCGCTAATGATTTCTGCCGCGAGTATAGGGGCGAAGGAGACGAGGAGACCATCGAGCACTATCTCTGCCATTGCCCAGCCTTGGCATCCGCGCGATAAAAGTTTCTTGGGAAACACTTCTTCGACTGTCTTCAAAGAGCTGGCCTCAGTGAACATTAAAAATCTTGTCACCTTTATAAGGCACACAAATTGGTTCGATCATTTGAAAATTGGCCTAAGTTTGCTGGGGCTTGACCAGCAGCCACACGAACTCATAATTGTCAATTGAATAGAAGGTTTCCATGCAGTATTTTTTTTCAAAGGGACGACAAAAATGAGCCCAATAATTGCTCATCCCTTCTATCCAAGGTCTTCTTTGAAGCATCACTACAAGCGTGAGACCCTCCCGGGAAGAGATTTTTCGACCGACCCTCTTCTCCAATCTGTGCGTCTTGATGTTTTTTCCAACTGGCTTTCCGGATGGCTGTACGCAATGCTAACCACTGCGGCTATTGCGGCCGCTTTAGTTTTAGTCTTAAAATACCTAACGATTGCGGTGAAAGAGCTCATATGGTTCCACCTCATAGTCCAGCGGATGACTTTTACATTGAGGACAAAGCTAAATATCGCCTATTTCAAGCAGACAGTACAGCATATACATAGAGCCTCTACCCAAAACGCTAAGCTAGTACTTAGAGTGGGGAAGAAGATCCCCGATGTAGCCACCGACTTCCGGTGTATCTATCCTCGATAAGCCGGTATGGTTCTCGTCGGCTGTAAAGAAGGGCTAACATGCTTACAATTCATATCCACAAAGATTTGGTTTGGCTGACTATTACGCCTATTAGTTCCATGTAATATTAGATGAAGGTCCCGTTTAGTTCGTGCTAAAATATTTGAAATATGATGCGAACTTTAAGAGAGCCCTGATGTTTTTGGTTCTTTGTACTGTAAAGGGCCTGGATATACAAAATGAGTCATAAATAAGGCCGGGCGGAAGCAGAGGAGATGTTTCAGCGTCTTACGCTTGTTTTCTTTCCTATAAATAAAGGCTGCTCGGAAAGCCAGTAGGTAGTGACTTATGATTTTCGGACAATATTCGCCCTGAAATCTTTCGAGATCGCATAAGCAAAAAGGTCTGCTTGTTTTCCTCCGTTGCTTTTGCATCTGATCTTGGTGATCCGTCATGTCATTAAGACATACCATCTTATTATGTACCATTTTTAGTGACCTGGGTATTTTCCTGGTTCGGTAACCAGTCAGATGGCAATTTCGTTAAGCTTATTAGCTATTTCGAATGCGCTTGTGGCCTGGAACCAAGTATTTGTATATGCAATAGCTTTCCTGGAGCCGCCATATTTACCGTCTTCATGCTTCGAAGAACTTTTTCTGGCGCAATAGGATGCAAGGTATTGGTTTCACGACGCGTTTATTGATATTTTTATGTGGTTTCCTGCATAGCCAGCTATGCCAGCAGCTTTTATCATTGCGAAGACCTCAATCTGGAAGATAGTAGGAATATACTTCAGTAATCAGAAAGCTTGAAGGGTTGTCTAAGGTCTAGTTCCATACAATAGCTTTCGGTGCACTCTCATTTATTCACTTTTGATCCAGGTTAGTTGTTGCGAGTTCCGTTTTTAGATCGGATACGCCAGTGCCATCCACTCTCTTTTAATATGACTTGAAATCTTATTTCCCACTTAAAGCGTTTGGGTATGTGGTCTATTTTGTCCAATAGTCCCTTGCTTATCGAGTTATGCCAGAAGATTCTTGTATCTAATTTGCCTAATGCCGGCAGTTGTAGGATTGACTCCGCCGCAAAGCTGCAATGCTGATTGGCTTCAGGTTGAGTAACCTTTCGAATGCAGCCGTCGGGGTGGTTCCTAACGCACTCGTTATGCAAATTGCAGTGACCCATTGAATTCGCTCCAATAGTTTGCTGTAAGAGATTTTGCTACCAGTGATCCACCACACCAAAGCACCGTAATGCCAGACTGGCCACTACTTAACACCAATGCATAAGGCCAAGATTACTTCCAGATACTTGGTATGATCTTGAATTTGTAACTTATCCCCGTTGAACTTTAAGGTTTTCGATGCAGGTATCCTGTACCTCATTCAAAAGAGTATCAAATCTGTTTCATCGGCATTTAGCTGTCCGCCGTTGTATGTTCCTTAGAACGTTGTCCATGACGTTACTAATTGTGTCGAGGAAACTGAACGTCAGTAGTCAGTTATATATATCGTCTGCGTACGCTATCAGTTTCGATGTCCAGAAGTGGTGACAATACACTACCCTCAGGAGTTCCTGTACGTGCTAATCAGAGCAAGCGGACGCCTTCGTTGAATTCCGTGTTAATCATCCTACAGCTCAGCAGATGACGGGCTCTATCCAGGCTGCTTACAGAGTATTTACATTGTTGAATGTTCCAAGTATGTCCACTTATGTCCAGTGTTAATGCGTGAAGAGCGGTCTCAGTGCATTCAACCTTTGTATAGGCGAGCGGTGTTTTGATATTAATATTTTACTGGTCGCTAAAAGCTTGTCTCTAAGGTCTAATCGTCTAGTATCTTGTAAAATATTCACAAAAAAACCCAAAAAAAAACTTTAAAGTGTAATGCGCAAGCATCGAGTGGATTTTAAGATTTTTTTGTATACAGTTCGTCGGTTTGGTGATTTATGATTACTTATGGTCTAATGGTACTTACCTCTTAATCAATTCAGACTTTCGATCTAAAATTACTCGAAGTAAAAGGATTCCAACTAAGGGATGATTTGACAATTCTCTTAGAAAACTACTTTTACGCGTATATTAAACGCCCAATAAAAAAAAGAAATTTTTTTTTATAAATTCTGGTCTTTCAGTTGAAAGAAAATTGAGCATACTTTGCGGCTTCAAATTTCGCAGGGCATTGGAAAATCTCCGAAAAACTTTTGCAAAAGTGATATCAAACTAAATATTTGTTTTTTTTTTAACACATAATTTTTTGTTTTCTAACTTTTATTTTTAAGCATATATTTCGTGGAAAAATTATTTCTTTAAAACTTTTGCCTAAATGTAGGCAACATTTTTTGAATTAAATAAGTAGTTTGCCATTCGTTGCCTACATTTTGGAGCGCACTAAAATGCGTTCGAAAGAAAATTTTAAATATAGAGCAAAATTCCGTTCATGCACCCAGTAGAAATTTAAAAAATAATAATAATAACAAAAATTTAAAAAATTGCTAAAAAATATAACCAAATCAAAACTTCATGACCTTACTCGTTAAAAAAATAATAAACAAAAAATAATAACAATAATAATAAAAATTAAAAATAAAAATTTGCTAAAAAATTCATTTCATTTATTTTATAATTTACGTTTATTTGTTTTAATTTATTTTTACATTTTTTTCTTTTAATTTATTACTTTAATATATTACATATTTATAAATTGCATTGCACACCGTTGCTCATTCCTAATTAAATATTATATATAAGTATGTATGTATGCCTATTTTATATATTGTAGGTATGTATATATGTATATATGTCTATACTTAAATGCAAATATTTAGCTTAGCCACAAATCGTTGCCACTTTTTTGTTTTATTAATTTTATTTTATTTAATTTTTTTTTTGTGTTTCAACTACATAAATTATTTATGTGCTAAATATTAAATATTAATTCACTTTTAATTAATTATATTATTTTGCATATATGCATGTACGTATGTTTGCACATATTTCTATAAGAAGCTCACTGTACACTAATTTAATGCCACTTAAATGCATATCAACTTTTAATATTATTTTTATTTATTTTGTTTATTTCTTGTCTCGCTAATTTGCTTGTTTTAAATTCTTATGCTCTTATATTTCTTTTATTTTCCTCTGCACACGATTTATGTTTCATTACGATTTTAGTTATTTTTTTTATTTTTAATTTCGATTATTATTTTTATAAATTTTTCATTACTATTTCAATTACAATATTTATATATACAACTATATTTATATTTAGCATTAATTATTAAGCATTAATTTGTTTACGATATGTGATCCACAAAAACCTTGTTTTCAGTTTTACTACGCACTAGAACTAAGTTTTCCATACGCTTTTCGAAATTTCGCTCGATTTTTTTGAAGTTCTCAATATTGTTTCCCTCCATTCAGGTCGCGCTACTCAACCATATGCTGCAACTCACTATGCGTCTCAACAACTTGACTACAACTATTTGTTGACGTCGTGGATGTCTCCTCATTTTGATTGTTCTCTGTTTTTATTTTACCCATTAAAAGCCAAGGTTCGGATGTTTCTAGAGCCGAGGCATTCGTGGGACTCACTAAATTGTCATCTCTTGTATTGGGTGTTGGCGTTGGTGACTTACTACCCTCTCCGCCTGTAGCGTGTTCGCCAAGTGCCTGCGCCGCCATGCCTGGAAAATTGTATGGAGGCGCTAAAAATGGTGGCAGCCCCAGAAGTCCTGGTGGATACTTGGCTGAGCTGGCGCCATTTGGAAAGTGTGGCGGTGTGAGATTCGGAAAAGCGCCAGGGCTGAGCTCACCGGCGGGCTATAAGAGAGAGAGAGAGAGAGAAAGAGAAAGAGAGAGGGAGAGGGAGAGGAAGAGAAACAGAGACGCAGTGTTTGAAATGAAACCAAAATAACAGTGAGGTTGAGTTTGAGCTTGAGGTAAACGAAGTTAACTCATTACGAGTAGACTTTATAATGCTTAATCCTTACACTTACCTTTGGCGGCAATCCATTGAAGAAAGGCGGTAAATATGGAAAGAATAACTCTGGCCGTCGCTGCATGAAATCCGTCTCGCTTGGCATACTTCCCGGCCGATGTAGTGGCAATTCGAGTGACATGCGTCTACCACGTCGTGATGTGGGATTCGTCCACATGTGAGTGCCCATATGGACCTGTGTGTGATATAATAACGGAAAGAAGTATGCTTTTATACGGAGCTATCTGGATATTATGTAAGTACTAATTTGCCTGCAACTCAAGATCCTATCCTACAATGTAACGTTTAATGAAAGTACCAGTCTGAGTGCTTCCGAGCGAGCACCTCCCCACACAGTGCCAGCGTGAACCACTGCTCATTACCTTTTACTAAGCATACCTTCGACGTACTTGTCGTTACTATTCGAGCTGAGCATGATCTGTGCACCGAAAGGCAAAATTTCGCAAAAATTGAAAAACGCACCCTTTTCCTCAATAAGAAAAACTTGGCGAGCTGTTTGAGTACTATGAAGAGTGAAGACCGCGCCATTTGACCAATGCTACCAAAGGCCTTGAATGCATAAAGATGATTACTCTCCTCAAAAAGACACAGTTCCTTCTTGGAGGATTTCCAGGTATAAATAAAAAGTTTCAGCTGGGCCGTTTGGGTGAACGAATAAATGTGATGAGTTAACCACTTTAGAAGCCTACTAATTACCTTGAATTGATTTTCTTTCTCTTACAAGTTACCATTATAAAAACTGCAATCCTCACCGTCACCTCACAAAGTCAAGATTAAAATTAATTTTTCCTAACTGCAATCCCCAAGAAAAGCTCGAAAAAACCAGATCATGAAATATTTTCTCATCCCACTTACCTTCAGATTCCCCTTGGTCGTGAAGGCCTTCTGACACACATTACACTGAAACGGCTTGTCGCCGGTGTGTGTGCGCATATGGATCTGAAGCGCCGAGCTCGAACTAAAATTCCGCCGACAGACGTGGCAGAAATGTTTTTGATTCGCAGCAGCAGCAGGATCGGTACTCAAACTCGGTGGACCGACGGACATTAGAGCTTGTTGAAAATCCAAGGGACTGGCGGGAAAGCGATGAGCATCTGTGGGCAGCAAAGAATTATGTGACACATTTAGTTGTTGTTGTTGTTGTTGGAGGTGATGGAGTGGATGCGTAGGCGGGTATTGTTGTTGTTGTTGTTGGTGGTGGTGGTGGTGTTGTTGGTCGTGGTTGTGATGATGATAATGGGCGTGTCCATAATGCAGTTTCATCGTTTGCGTAGTGTCGTGCGGAAGTGAGGATACTAAACGCGTTAAAATCGGGAAGGAACACAACAAGTATAATACAACAAAAAAAGAAATAAGTTTGTGCAAGATACACAGGACGATAGTTGGATAAACGGTTGAGTTGGGAAGGAACAGGAAAGTGTAACGGATGGATTCAAGCGTAAGAAAATGAACTTACGCAATTGCATTTGCATCAGCGACTGCTCAGCATTGTTCGGTGGCATCCCCAGATGTGGATGCGCCGCCGAGAGTTCGAAAGGTGAGTGCGTTGCTGGCGGTGCAATTTGTGACTCCAGTGATGACAGTGAAGGTGGCATGCAACCATGAGCCATCACTGCTGGCGTTGGTGTTGGTGATAATGGTGCGGGTGAAGTACTTGGTGTGCGTGGAGATCTCGTAGCGCTGATATGCTGTTGTTGGGACTCACTCTCCGCATCTTCGTCGGGCTTCTCTTGTTTGATGTGAGTTGACGTAGTATTTGTTTCAGGCTCGTTTGGGCTATTGCGTTTTGGTGACTCGCACAGAAAATTTGCTGTGTTTGCATTTTGATTTGTTGTTGCTGGCGCAGAGTTGCTTGTCGTGTTTCCAGCGTCCTCTTCGTCTATATTCGGCTTTGGGAAGAGATTGCTGCTGACTGTGAGCTGAAAGTAAAATTAGTTTATGTGGCGATGCAATTTTTTGAAAGACGCTTTTCTTAAAAAAAAATATAATAATTTATTCAATAACGGTATAAAATAATCGAGATAGATATAGACATATGTAAATATATGTAAGCGCCAATTATATAAACGAGTTTATATGTATATAACTTCATGGATTGCTTTCCTACGTCCGCCTGTCGGTGTACAACTATAACTCATATAAGGATTGAGATGATGAAACTTTCTTCACAGAAGCTCACGCTCACTTCCGACATAACGGTAATTCGGAAAAGTACCAAAATCGCGTTAAATTAGTAACAAAATTAAATTTTTTTATTATAATTTTTTTGTTTATTTTTATATTGGTTTGAACACTTCAATCCCGAGGTTTCATGCCGAGATCGTTGTGAATTGTGGAGCTTTTTACAAACCAAGGGGCTTTGAATATTGATCTTAAGGTTTTAGGCTGCAGTCTTTGAATTCTTTCTAGGCTAAATTTAGATACTGAGCCATAAACTTGGATCTCGTACGTCCAAGACGGCTTTATAAGCATAATGAAAAGTAAAACCTTGTTTTCTAGACTTAGTTTGGACTTAGAGCCTACAATCCAATGCAAGTTCGCTATTTTTAATTTCGTTTGAGTAATCTTTTTGTCTATGTGGTTTTTCCAGGTGAGTCTTTTATCCATTGTAACTCCCAGGTAGGTAACGAATTCTTTCTGAGGTATTGTACTCCCATTTATAGAGCTTGAAGGTCATCTGTAATTTTGTAAATGGTAAATGTTACTTGTATGCTCTTAGACTCATTGACTTTAATTCTCCAAATTGTTAGCCACTCTTCTATTACTTTTAAATGTTCTTGTAATCTGTAATTGGCTGTCATGGGGTTTGAAAGAACACTAGGTATTACTGTATCAACCGCAAAAGTTGATGTGATGAGGTTTCGGTTTGTGGGAAGATCGTTCGTATAAATTAAATACAAGACGGACCCTAAAACACTTCCTTGCGGAAAACCAGCAAATATTTCATAGGATTCAGTGGTGTAAGTTTTTTGCCTAACACAATATTTTCTGCCAATAAGAAAACTTTGTAAGACATTACAAAATTTTTAGGGAAAGCGTACCTTTGAGTTTGTATAACAGATAATCTAACCAAACTGAGCAACATCGAGGAATAATGGAGTGCAATATTGCTTGTTTTCAAACGCTGATCTTAAGTGTGCTAGATTCTATGCACCTGCTCTGCACGAAATTCTGGAAGAGATTTGTATCCAATATTTGGTATGAACACATTCCTTGATAAATCTTTATGCGTAATTTATTGTACTTTGCTTACTTTGTTAATCTATACAGTAGTAATGTTTAACTTGTTCTAGGAATAAGAATTAGCATTAAGATTTTCGAAATTATTGTTAGTTTCCAAAAAGGAAAGATTCAATAAAACATTATAAAAAAAATTTAACTCAGGTTAATTTAAATTGTTTTAACTACTTCTTTAATATTATTTATTTTTTTTTTCAATTCATTTTATTTATTTGACTTCATTTTAATTTTATATATTATTAAATGTTATTTGTTTTATTATTAATATTTCTATTTTATTTTTTCATTTTAAGTTTATTTTATTTTAATTTTAATTTTTTTTCGTTTTGTTAATTTTCATTTTTCAATTAGAATTCAATTTTTCTTTTTTTTAATACTTTTTAAAAATTTTTTATAATATGTTATTTTATTTCGTTTTGTTCCATTTTAATTAATTTTTTAATTTATTTCATATTATTTTATTATATTTTATTTATTTTCTTAATTTTATCTAGTTTTATTTTATATTGTTTTATTTTACTTGATCTTATATTATTTGGTTTTTTTGTTTTGTTTAATTTTGTTTTTTTTTATTTGTGTAGTATTATTTTATATATTTTTTATTATAATTTACTTTATATTTGTTTATTAAGTTTTTTTGATTTTTTTATGTTATGTTATTTTAATTTAATTAATCTTATCTTATTTCATTACATTTTTTATATTGTTATATTTTAATTTTTATTTTTTTATTTATGCTCTTTTATTTGTATTTATTTTATTTTATTTTATTTTATTTTATTTTATTTTATTTTATTTTATTTTATTTTATTTAATTTTACTTATTTCATTTTATTTTATATATGATTTTATTTTATTTTATTTTTTAATTTTTTATTTTTTGAAATTTACTATATTTATGTTAATTTAATTTTTTTTATTATATATAATTTTGTTTTCTGCTTTTGAATTTTGTTGTATATTATTATTTTTTTTTAATTTATTTATATAATTAAATTTTTATTTCATTTTATATTGCCATTTTTTCCCAATCGCTTCGTTTCACTTTATTTTATTATATTTCGCTTTTTTCTGAAAAATCCCTTCATTTCATCCAGTTTCTGCGCATTTTAGTACATTCCGCTGTACAAATCTTATTAAAGTGTATTTTAAGAAAATAAATCACTTTCGCTTGTTCTTGCCTCACTCTAGTTTATTCTTATTTGGCTATTGCTGTATTGCACTACCGAATTGCGAGTACTTTATTGTAAGCAGCAACTGCGTGTTACAACAAATATGTGGGTATCGCTGCTATTTACATGTGTTGTTGTGCTGATGTGGCGTCTCGACATTAACATTCACATTGTTCTCCATTTAAAATGCAATTAAATTTTCTTTTCTTTTTTTTTTTTGAAAGACACTTTTAGGCTGAAAAACTGTCTTCTTCTTCTCTTAGTTTAGTACAACAAATGTGCATGAATTCGCAATTTTTCTTGTACGAAAGTTGAGTGTAAATAATTCTCTACATTCTTTTGCTAAAGAGGCAAGATTATGAGGGCTCAGTTTTCCTTAAGCTGGAGGCACACGTTGTTTAGTAAATTCCAAGTTCACACGCATAACGTGACGCAATAGGAGGAGCAGAGATTTGTGGCAAATATGTTTTCCATTAAAAATATAACGGTAATAAGTATCCTACTGCTTACTTTTAAATCGATTGTTATTTATATGGTGCGAAACATAACCTAAATTTGTCTTCTTCACCACACTACTTATTGCTAACGGAGCTTAAAATACAATAAGATGAATTAAACAAAACTCAATGTGCAGCTATTTTTCACTAAATACAGTTAATAATCGACTCATAATTTGTCGCAAGCGCCTTATTTGTGGCATCTGTCTGTTATGGCAGAAACCATAAGCCAGCAAATATGCCAAATAAAATGCAACAAATATCCTTTTAAAGCTCAACAACAACACACCGAACAGGGTGCAACTATGCTGAGAGAAAGGTGAAAAGAAAGAAATAAAAATAATCATAAGTAACAATAAGAAAGAATAAATTCATGTTGTTGCATTAATAATAGTCCAAATTAAGCGGAAAATTGCTTAGAGAAAGGTGAAGCTTCGCAACTTGCCTTATTTCAGTCGTTACTTTAATGGCTAACACATGATTAATTTACAGTTACAAGTAGTAATATTTATTGTATATGAATTGTTTTATTCCAACTAACATATATTCATATGTATATACAAATATATGTACATATACTCTCCTTTGGTATGTTTTAATTAATGATGCGTAAGTAGTTTATTGTGCTCACACAAGTCTAGCAGCGCAGAAGCAGCGAAAAAATGTGCTTATTGCGAAAATGTGCTAACAACAGCAACAACAGCAAGCAAGCAAACAAACGAACTACAGTTGGACACGCAATTTTTATGCTCACAAATAATGACGTTAGGCTGGCTTGCTGTCAGCTGTCATTTGTTAATATTCCCATGAATTATTTGCCGTAGCGTCTGTAAGTGTAGGCAGGCCAAGGCATGCTGTAGGCTATAAGAATGCGTATAACTACACTAATATAATTCATAGCTCATTAATTATTACAATAATTGTTATAAGTGTAATTAGGCCAGTTTATTAGTTACATTATACCTGAGAATCTTACTTACTTTAAAGAAATATTATTATTTAAGTTTTTTATATTTAATTTAAACGTTTTAGCTGTATTAATTTTAATTACTTGGTAGTCTAAAATAACCACCGTAAAGCTGCAAAATAATGCTTAAAATTATGGCTATAGTCTAGCTGCGGCGTTATGCTGCAAATTTATCGATTTTCGATAGCTTTTGCAAACAGCTGTTCTTTGCAGTTTCGTTCATTGCGGAAATGAAATGGAAAGTTAATTACATTTATTGGTTTTTTTTTCTGAGTTGTGCAAATTTACTGTTGTTGTAACTGTTTTATTTTCTTTTCATTACTGCGATTACCGCAAATTAGTACCAAAAAAGCAGAGAATGTTGGGAAATATACCCAACAGCGGTTCGTAAGCTACTTAAAGCTGTGGTTTGCTTCATTTGTAGAGCAGTGGATTTTCAACAAACAAATTCTGTTTAAATAAAGGGTGTTTTTTAAGATTTACAGTTTTCAAGAAGAAATAAAATGCATATAAAAGAATGTTAGGAACAAAAATATATCCATACTATAAAGATAAGGGGATAATATAGTCATTATGTCAGCAAAAACATTCCGAATATTCTTTTAGACGTTCATCCTCTCTGACTCCACTGCGTAGACAAACGACTTCTCCATACTCCACAAAAAATAGTGCAGCAGTGTTAATGCAAACTATGTTGAAGACTGACGACACGGCATTTATGACATGTAACGCCTTCTTTTTATACCAAAGGTCGTCCATATCAACATCCGTCAAATCAGTTACAAAAAAAATCCTTAAGCATGGTTCTATAGCGTTCCTCTTTGCCTGCAACTTAATGGCCGGCTTCATAGCAAGATCTTCTTGGAGCAATGATTCCCTCATCTCACATCTTGTTACTTCGATGTAACACCGTAAAAACAAAGGTTGGTGGATTATCATCACTCGATAATTAACCAATAGTGAGCTTCATCGCTGAACAAAACTTTATTGAGAAAATCTTAATCGGTGGCTATCTTATTTTGAACCCATACACCTAACGTACGACGCCTCCAATGGTCGTTTGGCTTCAATTCCTGCATGAGTTAGATTTTATAAGCTCGCAAGCATCGATCATTCCGCAAATTATTCTATAAAGTGCATGTTGCGAACGAGTCGGGTCTTCTTCGATACTCTGTTCCACACCCGAAAAAGTGTATTTCGTGCGCACTGAGGATTCGTCTTATTCAAGGTTGTTCGAAGTAGCGGACATTGGAACGCAGCGCGCGATGTCTTACGCTAAACGAACTGTTATAAATTTGCACGATTTGCAAACAGTGTTCTGGAGTGAGTCTGTTCAGAATGAAATGGCCAACCAAACTGATTTAGTCAATGTAGTGCATTGTATGTGGCCGAGTTGTAAGTCCCGCGTACTGTTATTTGGATGGCCATAGTTCGAGCCCTGGTCCGAACAATATCCAAAAATAATAGTAAATTAATTTGAATAAAAAAACAAAATTATATTTTCCAATTGCGGTCACCCCTCGGCAGGGAATGTTAACCCCTCCCAGTGTATTTATGACATAAAATAAAGGCTTCCCATAAAAATCCCTCAGCCGTTCGGAGTTGGCTTAGTGTAAACTGTGGTACCTCGGTTTGCTGGAAAAACATCAAGACGCATACCCAAAATTAGAGGAGGAACTCGGCTGATAGTTGATAGTCCCTATCAGTGTTATATCTGACTTTCGATAGAGGGTTTTTTCTATCCATGAAAAAGTTCAGCGATTCGGTTCTTATCTCTTCAAATGTCGTAAAAGCTCGTCCTGAAATGAATCTCCTCTATCTTGTGAGTAAGGAAAACTTCCAGGGAGGAGATTTGGTGAATTGAGTGGCTGAAGCATGATTGCGGTATATGAAAAATATGTAAAAATAACAACGCGATGTGACTTATCGAGAAATAAGCTCAGTTCCAAAGCGCGTTTTTGTGTATTTCGTAGGGGATCGTCATGTTATTGAGCACAAGTCTCTTAAGCTGAAGATGATATGTTTGATGGAAGACTGCAAGTTCATAGCTTTCATCAGTAAAAAATTCATTCGGAGGGAAAAAGATCCGACTAGAGACAACAAAGGCAAGGTGGAACTCGACCGAAAGTTTGTTTAGTGGCTAATATACATAATAATATGTTTATAAAATACCAAATTGGATCAAACCGAAGCTGGGCGAGACGACTTTCCAACCGAAACTAAGTAAGGAGGAGCGAGACATGTGGAAAGGCTGAAAAGAGTCTAGGCTTTTCACGCCTAAAGCTCTACAAACAACATCATTCGAATCGATCACTTTGTCTGATGTCCGTCTTTCGGGAAGCATCTGGCAATTGCTGTAAGGGTGGGCAGGCAGGGCAAGTAAATATTTATTGACTGATATCTAACTGGTATAACTTCAGCTATTAAATACTACTTCTAAACTAGTTGTATTACATCACTCACCTTCACTTTGCTGTTGTTATTGTATATTGGTGATGTTCGCTCACGATTCGTAGAAAGACTTGTAGTATGTATTGTTGTTGTTATTGTACCCGTTGTTGTTGTTGTAGTTAAGTTATTACTATTGTTGTTGTTGTTGCTGCAAGCAGTCGCTGTTGTAGCAGCTGTCATACTTGCCATTGCTGACGTTGGTGTTGTTGTTGTTGATGTATTTGTTGTTGTGTTATTAGCAACATCTTTGGTATGTTCACTAAGTGTATGTCGCTCCAATGCCGTTGAATTTGGGAACATCTTAAAGCACACATTACACAAATGAGTTTGAGGATGAAGACCTGAAAGAAGGGAGAAAAGGAAGTTACGAAATGAAGTGAAGGAGAATTTAAATTTATACTCTTATTTGAAAACTTTAAAGTAATGAGTAATGAAAAGCGGTGAGAAATGAATAGCTAAACTTGGCGATAGATAATAAGGTCTAGAAACCTATAACGGTACCACATAACAATCGATTTTCCTCCTTAAACACTTGCTGTAGAGTAGCAACAATAGGCAACCGCCTTGTGGATTGTGCAGCAATCTAGCTCTCAGAGAGCACTCATCGGCAACTCGGTATAAAGGAGCAGTATAACGGCATTTCAAGCTACAAACGAAACTAGTGGATTTCGGAAAGGTCGATCGACCATTACACGTGCGAAGTGTGATGGATAACGAGGATTGAAGAGGGAAGCAAGACGCATGAGCAGACAAAGAAGAATGGCATATAGGCAGATAGGATAACGCTCGAAATTTCTATGAATAAACCGCGACTTACAAAAGTCTTCTGTCGACGCAGTGAGGTGATATAGTTACTCATGCCCAGAGTATACTTAATTTATGGAAGGAACACCCATCCAGTCTGCTGAATGACAGTGAAAGTGCACCACTGGGGATGGCGAAAACGATTTCCCAACCCAAGAGTATGGAACAGATGTTTCCTTGCCCGATCAAGAAGAAGTTTGAAAAGCAAACGCTCGCTTGTAAATCAACAAAGTAGCGGAGATTGATGGATTCCCGACACAGCTTCTTGCAAAATATAGTCGATGCAAACCTAAGTAAGTAAACGAACAAAGACACGCCGCACATCAGTCCCGTCCTGCTATAAGTTACGGAGCCCTTGCTCAAAACAACATCTGATGAATGCGCGCTAGAAGTTTTCAAGTTAAAGGCTTTGCGTAAGATTTATGGTCCTCTGAGAGTTGAGAACAGCAAACACCGCAGCCGATGGAACTATGAGCTGAGCTGTGCGAGTTATACGGCGACGTTGACATAGTTCAGCGAATCAAGAAAGGCTAGGTCGTGTTGTCCGAACAGATAAGAAGCTTTCCAGCTTTGAGACTTTTCGATGCAGTTCCCACTAGGAAGAGAAGAACCTGGTTGTACTTGGTAATTCCAGTTGACGCCAAACAGCGAAAAGAAGAAACGAATGGCGCATTGTTTTTAACTCGGCTGCATTCGCGTAAGCGGTGTCAACGCTAGAAAAGAGTAAGAAGATGAAGGAGAAGCTATAGAATAGCTCTTCCTTAGCATGAATTTCGTTTCCTACTGAAGAAATTGATCCAAATAATCAATGCCGGAAGAACTCGCTGTCGTGAAACAACAGGAAGTAGATCTGTCGGCAAGGTAAGTATCGGTGCTTTCGTGTTTTAAAACTCACTTGGCTGTCGAAATAGATAATTTTCAAGTTACAGAATCCAGCAATAACGGAAACAATATACGCCTGAAATCTTTTGAAGAATAGTTCTATTGTTCCAGCTTTGTGGCTTTTTGAAAAGTGTAGCTTCTCTCCACTAACGGCATGAGGACTTTTAGAGGGAAAGATTTCGTTAATTATTTATAGAACTTTGCCTACAAGAACTAGCTTTGAAAGTTTTATATGCATTACCCGCAAGGAAGAGCATCGAAAGAGGGATATCTCCTTAAGAATAATAAGGGACATGGCTTTGCTTAGTTTGTCCCGTTGACGGTGTTAAGCAATAAGGAATAGCGAGAGCTCGACTATAATATCGAAAGGTGGACTGCGAAAGCCAAGTACCTTCCACTCAATATTGAAGATTTCAGTTGGAGAGCAACCGTTATGATGCGAGTACGCGCGTTAGTTTTGGTACGGAATAGAATCCAAGAGGAAGTTACCGGCCGAACCGAATGCGAGTGTGCACTATCCGATCGGTACAAAGCAAAAGATTTAGTAAAGTATTACTTTTTCACTCCTACTGAAGTTCAATTACACCACAAAATTTCCGAAACCATAAATTTTCATCAACAAAAAAAGGCGAGATGCGTTGAGACATGAAATCGGATAAATGAGAAATAGCCGCCAAGGCAATCAAGGCAAGTGGAATGAGCACGCAGCAGCACAGGGTAAGCAGATGTTTTTTTTTTTTGTTTAATTATATTTAAATTTTAAAATATTGCCTACGCATTAAAATCTGAAGTGGGATATACATACATACAAGCATTCTACATAAGGCGCCTTGTGGAAATAAATGAAAAACATGCCAAACGCGACAAAAATAGCGTCACAAAAAACCGAAACCCCGAAGCGATTGATTCATGCATCAACGCTAACGAATCTGTGCGAACCACAATCGTCTTGCCATCCGACGATGAATAATCAAAACCATTTTCCACTCACCGAAGGCAGCGCTATTAATGTGACTATAAATTGAATTATGTCGCGAATATCGAACAACACAAGCAGCGGTACTACACATTGCGCTGAGGTCAAAGGGCACAGACGCAGAGTCTTTGTCATTTTCTACGCAGATGTGACGCGAAATGACAAGAAATACGAGCTGGCGGCAGTCGAATGAAATATATTGAATTGAAATGTAGTGACAGTGGCAGCCGAACAAAGAATTTCTGAAGACGAAAATCTTATGTTAAGCTGAAAGTAGAGGAAAAACACTAAGAAAGGGTTGTGGGAATGGATAAATGGTGGCAAAAAAATTTAGTACACTGCTTTTCCTTGTTTCCTGCCAGTCAAAGTTCAATGTAGCTGGCCTCTTTTTCCGTGCTGCACGGTTTCTGTCATTGTGGGTCCGAATAATAGCGAGCTTTTGGGCTCATTCGGTGTTTCAAAAATTACATATACCTCGCCATTACTCTAAAACTAAGCTAATTTCCTATTCTATACTGCATTGAGAGATTATCTAACCCTTCCCACCCAACACTTACCCATAAAGCCGAGCGGTCCGAAAGGCAGCAGTGGAAATTTTGCATGCGCACCCAACATTTGCATCTCCTCGCGTGCCGCTGCCATTAGCAGGAAATTCGGCGACATACCCAACATGGGTAGATGATGCTCGAGCGCTTTCTGCTGCGTCATACCGTTCGTGGTGTTGCTGGCGGTGTTGGGAAAGCCACGCGCTGACAGATCCATTGCAGCAGCTGCAGCCATTGCGGCCATCGGATGCGGCAGTTCTACGCCACAATCGCCACGCTCAGTCAACTCCTGCGCACGTTCATCGGCGTACTCGCCATCAGCTAGACGACGGTCGAAGGGCGTTAGTGAACTGGTGTTCTCACGTGAATCATCTGTGCTATCCATAGTCATAAAATCATCGAAATCACCTTGCGATGACTCTGAGCGTTGACCAGAGTAATCCGATGTGGTGGAGAAATCAAAATTATCCGAAGTGCCCATTGATTTATTGGAGTTTTGATCCTCAATTGCCGCATCCATGTGCGCTTTCATTCGTGCATTATGTTCGGCTACCGCCTCCGCCGTGTGTGGTGTGCCCGGTGGTAGTGCGCCGAGCGGTAGTGAGAAAGGCCCGAGCAAGCCACCGTTTAGTCCGATGCCAGGCATACCAACTAAAGTGCCACTGCCATCGTCGATGGTGTGTATGCGTATGTGTTGTTGTAATATCACACCATTCGAGAATTTCTGATGGCAAACGGGACATTTAAATTGACTACGCATGGGTGGTTTGATCTTATGTATGCTCATGTGCGCCTTCAGATTGCCCTTCGTAGCGAAAGCACGTCCGCAAATTTTACACCGGAACGGTCGTTCGCCGGTATGTGTGCGTATGTGCATTTGCAGTGAGCTGCGACAGGACATGACTTTGTGGCAGAATATACATTGATTTGGGTCGGTCAGCTTGTTCTCGATGTTGTCCACCAACTGCTGCAGTTTCGACGTTTCCGAAGTTGTGTCGATCTCGATGAGATCTTCCCACGATTTATCGATTATGCGCTCCATCTGAGCGAGTGAATATTCGGATGAGATGTGCGGCGGCTCGAGACCGCTGTTGCTTGAGTTGCGACTTAACGAAGAGCGACGTAAGGACGCTGCGGACTTATGAAGAAAGTCACCACCTTCCAAGAAACGATCGCGTTCCTGCTCACGCGCACGCTCGCATTTTTCATGCGCGTGACCCTTACGTGGTTCGCTTGCACCCGAGTGTGGCGTGTTAGCACGAGAGCTGCGTTTTCGCGCGCTGCTATTGCGTTTTGGTGGATGCGGATGGGTTTGTGGCGGTTGTTGGCTGGCAGGTCGTTCTGGTTTTTCATGTTTAGCAGAAACAGCTTGTTTGACCACTGGCGGTAACTTCGGTGACTTTGTTGGCTCGACGATCGTGGGTGCTTCCTGTAATAACGGTGAGTGGTGCGGTTTGCTTAAGTCCTGTGGCGTCTCAATGGGCGAAGAAGCAGCGGCGGGCTTGTCGTCGCGTTTAGGCATTGGTTGTGGTATTGGTTCTTCAGGTTTTTCTTTCTCCTGTCTACAACCGGGTTCTTCAGCTGCGTCCACACCTGAAATGGGTAGTCTTATAGGTGGCACACCTGGCATAAGTGGTCCTCCCAGCGGCGGTCCGTATGTTGGAAACTGTTCTACCATTGTGCCACCAGGACCCGGGGCTAGCAACATGGGAGGAAAGATCTGTGTATGTCGTTGGTAGTGAACCTTCAGATTGCCCTTTGTTGTGAATTTACTGCCACAAACATTACAATGAAATGGTCGTTCACCAGTATGCGACCGTAGATGAATCTGCAGAGCTGAGAAGGAGCCGAAAATTTTACCACAGTACTTGCAACGATGTTTGAATATCTCACCGCGCCCCTGTGCGTCCTTCTGCGCATATTCATATTCGTCCTGCAGGTGTGAGGCGTGTAAGCTTTGCGATGCTGAATCGAGCACCTCCTCCGTGCGTCGTTGCAGCATCTCCAAGCAGTTGGGTTCATTGGGCGCGGGTGGTGGATCGTGATTGGTAATGATGCTGGAGGCGAGCGATGAGCTAATGTCGCACATCAAGGGTTGGTAGTTGTTATTTGTGATCACATTATTGGGAGCCAAGTTTGGCTCATGACTTTTGTTACCCAAACACTCGGCGTCCGGCTTAATAGCCTTGCTCTCTTTCTGCTTCGTGCTTGCGCTTAACGACGCTTCAGTCTTTGTATTCTCTTCATTCGACGCAGACGCAGCGGCAATACGCAGTGGTCTTAAGTCCTCATCCACTTCCATGCGATTTCTCGGACTGACCTTGGTACTTCGCACCACACCAACATCCACACTCACTTCATCCACCAACTCACCTACCTCTCTGTCCGCCAGTGGTGACTCCAAAATTCGCCGCTTTGGCTCTTCTGACTGTTCCGCTGGCTGTTCTTCGCCCTGCTCACTCTCCTCCGTTAGATCCCCAGTGCGCTTCAGTTGACTCTGCAGGTGTTGTATGAGTTGCAGTTGCATCAGATGTTGCCGCTGTACGTTCAATATCGTCGATTGCACCATCGCTAGCTCGCTCATTGCCTCGCCGTAATTTTGTGCGCCACTCAGCGCTGAGGCAGCAAATTGTGCCACCGCCACTTTGGTGTGTTGTAAAGCCTCCAATGCCACATGTCCGCTGGAGGGCAAACGATCGCCCGGCAGCACCGATAAATCCAACGCCTCATTACTATCGCCCGTAGTCTCCTCCAGCACATCTTCGTTAGCATCACATTCTTCACTGCTCGACCGCTCAACGCTAGCCGCACGCATATTGCACTTAGGATCGGCGTTTTCGTCCACGATGCGCTCTGGTGTGGTGGTGTGGCTAGTATTGTGAACGCTGCTCACCGGCAGCCGGCTCTCTGTGGTGCAATCATTGGCACACAACGTCGCCTCTGCGCCATTGAGCTCGATATTAGCCAAACCAACGCTAACGCCAGCTCCACCGCCATTATTATTTCGATCGGCATCCAGTTCTTTGGTTAAACCACCGATACTGCCGCTACTGTTGCTGCCACTCGAGTTGCTGCGCAGACCGCGATAGTTGATGCGATTATGAAAAATGGAACACATTCTCTGTGCCGGGCTGTCTTAGAGTGGACCAGGTTGATCGGATTGCCGACCAAGTATCCATCAGCAAATAGAGATCACTGCAGTTCGACGCCCTCCACCGACCGTCATTGATATCAGTTAGCCACGGACCCGCTGTTCAACTGTATTTCATATAATACCTAAAATGAAAGGAAAAGAAAAGTGAAAAATAAATAAATAAATAGATATAGCGGAATAATTAGTTTTACTTATTGGGCTAAACAGATACAAGAATATTTGCCAACAACTCAGAAATGGCACGTCAATAAATTTATTTAATATCTCTTGGCATTTATGCACATCAATAATATGGTTATTTTTTGAATGTTTAACACAGTTCTCGCCGTTCACCGCCCCATGCCGACTGGCTTGCCTTTGACTGCCTATCTGGTTGCCCTCAATAACTTATATGGCATATGGTCCGAGCGTGTCCCAAAGGCAGCTTCCAAAAAAAATCACCGCCGCCTCCGCCATTCACACGTAAGCGAGACATGATATTCATTTTAAATAATCGCAATTGACACGCAATCGATGGCGAAATAACGGTAGACTATATGATAAGTTTTTTATTCCATTTCAAATGAATATATGAATAGTTTGCGTATGAACGGAATAAATGCGCATATTGCATATAATTTGGCGTTTGATTCGAATAATTTCATTTATTTCGATTTCTTCTTATTGTTCTACATTTCGTAATACATATGTACATACATATTTATATATACATATGGCACCAGGTTGGAAATTTTGATAAAGTCCAAATTATTTGCTCAGACACGTATCATCGCAGAGTTATTACTTGAAAAAATTATCCAGCGACTATAGTCGGAATCTGCCGACAACAGAGAGCAAATTTCCATCTAGTTCGATACACAGAATGTAACTCCCGATTTAATTCAGTTGCGAAAATTATATCGCCTTATTTTGTGAGACTTGTCTGAAGATCCACCAAAATTTTTTATTTTAATTGTCAACCAGAGTTTGCCTGCGACTTCATCCGCATGGAATATTAAGATGGTTCTATTAAGAATTACCAGGTTTACTATATTAGGTGTAGTAAAAAGTAATCCATTATTTTTGCATAAAATTGAAGGCTTTAATTTTTTACTTTTTTTCTTCAGCATTTTTCGAATGGTTCTTTAGCTCTTGGGCAATCGAAACAGTGCTGTCTATGATTTTATCGACATTTTCGATAATTGGCAATCCGTGAAGCATTATTGACCTAAAAATTAACGGTGTCAAACCGAAATGCTACAAGCTACATGATTGACTGCAAAATTTTCAGCCGCCTGGCCTTAAATAAAGCGTATTTTCTTTTTACTCGTTTCCATCTTCGGCGCACGCTCAAACAAAACTGAATGAACCAATCACAAAACTGCTAGAAAAACTTTTTAGTGCGAAATGTCGTCTTTCTAATGCCGTCTAGGAGAACCCGAACGGACTTATACAACGCGATATGCAGATAAATTACTTCTTCCATTGCATAGACAATGGATTTCTTTTTACTACAGCCGATTTGTTCTACATCTTAAGGGGTTACATAGGTTTTGAAGGCCAAAAAAAAACGCATTTTCTCTAGCTTTCCTAAAAAGATACTAAAGTAAGTATATAATTTATTTTGTTTATATATAAAAGTACAATATGTGGACAACATTTGATGAAAATTTGAATAAAAAATCGTATAAGTTAAGGCGTTGGCAGTGTCGTGAAGTAGACCGTCGCACAAGAAAGTGCTTTCGCGGTGGTCATGATAACTTTTTCAATTTTTATCCGAAATCAAAAATCCTAATTTTTTCTTAAAGTAGGTGAATTTTTCTGATCCCAGAACGAAGAAAAAATAAAAAAAAAATTTTGTTGCGTTTTTTTTTTTACAAAAATCATAATTTTCTGCATAAAGTTAAGCCACGTATAGGGGAATGAGTCGAAATCAAAGATAAAATAAATCGTTCCTTCAGGGACTATAAAAACATGATTAAAAGAAGTGTGAAAAATTTGAACTCGATCGCTTCAATAGTCGTTGAGAAATTTTGACTACCGATTTCGATAGAGTGATTTTAAGAAAAACTTGTTTAAAGTTTCGCCATCGGTCAGGCCATGACAAAGACGGCGGGTTATAAAACTCTCTAATTTCTGCAGTTTCGTCTCGATCGACTTGAAACTTGGGGAAAATATTCCTGACACTTTGTACTTTTATACAATACAAAAAATTATCAAAAAATAATTTTTTTCAGTTTCAAGACCCATGTAACCCCTTAAGCAAAACCGGACCCTCGGTCTTTAGGTTAGTTTAGATCAAAACTACTGTACCAAATGGTATGAAGATCAAAACATAAATGCGAAATTTCATAATAGATTGCAACGATTTTTTTCGAATAAATCGGCCTCACATCCACATTTCCGAAAATCCTCTCTCAACGGACGCATACGTTCGCATACCCTCAGAGTGTGAGATCTCTACGACCAGTGGTTTAGGTTGTGGAATGATCCGTCAGTCATTTAGGGAGAAGCAGGGGGGAAATTGTCTCAGCTCTGTAGTGCTCTCAGAAATATCTATTCACATTTACTCAAATAGCCAGGTCGCATGAAAACCTCTTTGCTCTGTTGTAGTGAAATCGAAAACGAATGAGAACTGCCACAGATCATTTATTTAACATGATATCTAAGCAACCTAGTATGAGTGCCTGGATACAATAAAATACCGGATAACGAACTGGAAGATCAACTTGTAAGAAAAGCACTTCGTTCCACCTTTCATCAACATTGAAGAACTAGTCATGCCGTTCTCTACTTTTAAGCTCACCATAGGAGGGTTATTCGCCAAAGATGCTAACTCGAGCTGGAGAAATCTCAAATGCATGAAATGTGACTGGGACAATGTGGCCACAATGGAGTAGAAGAAGGTCAGATAGCCTTATCAAGTTAAACACAGAAGATATCTACACTTATAGGTCTTTTACAGTGACTTAGGTCTTCTATTCTATTAGGTAGAGAGGTTGGGCGTGCATCATCTTATGACTTCTGCAGAAATTGTAGAGAAGGAGAGAATGCACCACACTTTCGGGTAGTACTTTGAATTCTCTAGCGACGGCAGCTTTTGGACACTACAGCGAGATTACGTGAGACTCAAAAAGGCGGTCACTCTTTCCTACAAATACAAGCAGGTTTATATGAAGGATCAGTGGTACTAAGACTTTCGCCACAACTAAGTGAAAATTTTAGAAAAATAAGGATTTTGGTAGCAGATACCAATAGTCGTTAAGCCTAATTTTCAAATTTTGAAGCTCGAAACATTCAATATTTATTGTGATCTTTATATAAATTAAGACCAGAAAGTCCAGACCAGAAATAGGACAGGCGGTCGATAAAGAGAGTTAGGTTTAGCGTTTTGTGGCTTTTGCCTCGTCATCCGTCGTAAACGGCCGCAATTGTGGGCCAACAACTCCGGTTTCAAAACGATAATACGCCATCGCACCGAGCTGTGAATGATTTTGAGACAAAAAACTCCTTCAATACCAATGATCGACTTCTTTTGTTTCCAAAACTCAAGTTACCACCCGCGCGGAACCCGTTTCGACTCCATTGAGGCCGTAAAGAAATATTCACAGAGGGAACCGATGTCGACTGATTTCAAAAGCTGCTGCAAACAAACTGGTTTCATAGAACGGGCTCATATTTTGGCATAACTAATAACGGACAGTGCTACCAACTTAACAAGAAAAAGTGGCGAAACTTTCTGGTATTTTATGCACGTATGGGAAGCTCTATCATACAATTTTCAACAATCTAACAGTCCCCTTTTTTAGAGCCTATTGGCATTATTAATGCTCCCTCCGAGCCGTTGAGAACCAAAAGAGGTTTCAGACAGGCTGACTCTCTATCACAAGATTTCTTCAACTTAACTTGGGCTCCACGGTACTTTTGAGAGTCATAACAATGAAGCTGTAAAAAATTTTGTCTAGTCTATCTAGAGGCTAACGTTTACATTAGAAAGAATGTCATTCTTCTTCAAATCCACCAAAGAATCACTTTTTCACCTTAAACTAGAAAGACAATGGGAAAATAAAGTACCTTCTCGACTCTGCAAGTCATCAATCATGCTGCACAAATGTAACGTGCTACGCTTATGGGTTAGGGGTTCAAGAATTTACCCGCGGTAAGGCATGCCTGTCGTAAGAGGCGACTAAAATCCAATAGTTTCCGCGACAGTCGGGTATTTGTATCGGAACTACTCTCGCAACATTCCCCAAAAAGTACTTTGGGTCACAACAACAACTACAAAAATAACAGTGTAACAAACTGACGATGAAAGCACTTGAGCTTTGAAAGTATTCAACGGATACCTGCTGATGGAGATGGAAAAAATAGAAGAACTCCAATCGCTAAGGATGCGATGAGGTGAAGAACCTCCAAAGCGCAAGAAGAAGAAATAAATATTTCGAACAGGTCATAGTCAGATAAAGACGTTCGAGTGGTTTTTTATAACATTTCTTATTCCGCTATAAAAAGTGAACTAGGATGAGTTAATAGCCGCAGCTCATATGATACACTCACCCGGAGGAGAAATGATACACCCTGCCTTGGGAGTTTCTAACCATCATGAGCGCACTGTTTCGAATGCCCTAGAACTAAATATTGCACAGAAAACCGTTTGGAATCACTTCAAAAAAGTTCCACAAAGGTACTCCATGTACGAGCGCCACATGAGTTAGCAAGAAAACTGCAAATGGGCTCCAAACCAGTATTGATGGTGAGTCAGGCTTTATGTTTGCATATTTGGTGGTATTGATAAGGAATCACTCTTCATTCATTCATTCTTATAAACGAACCCTTCCTCTTGAAGCACCAGACCGCCAAACTATAAGCAGCTCCTCTACAGCCAAGCGCTTAATTTAGACTAGTATTTTCGGCATTGAACCATCCTGATGAAATCGAACGCCCAGAAGCGACTTGCTTTGGACCGCCCACATCAATAGTGACTCCCACTTAGCTCATAGTGCTTGTTTGGGAGATTCTTATGCATTCACCTTATAGTCCGGACATCGCAATGAGTGAGTGCCATATTTTTATGGCTATGGACTACTTTCGAAATATGGTAAAGATTGAAAGCTGTCTATCCAAAGATATGGATTACATTTTA